TCATTGACTCATTTCACGCGAACCCCAGACGGAATTACGTGCTTAAACTTCTTGAGGAAGTCTTTGAACTGCTCATCAGAACCTACCTTCTCGTGAGCAGCCCTGAAGTAGCCTAGCTTACTTGCAGATCTGCCCTGGCGATGCAACGGTGGAATAAATTCATCATTCTTGTGGCTCGAGGAAGACATGTTCGAAAGAATCTTATAATGATGCAAGGAAAACTTGTTAGAAGGTTGCTTAAAGGAGAAAAATAAATAAATAAATAAAATTAAAAGGGCCACAGAACCTAGCGCCCCACGCCAGGCTTCACAGCCCAACCCACTTGTGCGACAGAGAGCCCAGCCTGAGCTGACTCCCCCATCTCTCTCTCTCGACCCAATGGCTTTGCTACCCAAGTTAAACAGAGAAGGGGCAGGCACCTCCACGCCTCATCTTTCTTTTGCAACTCTCACAGCTGCACGGGCCCGAGCCCAGCAGCCCGAGATCGGCACCCATGTGCCTAGGTCCATGTACACCTAGCCCAAGTTAGCCGAGGTGCACCTAACCCAACCAGCCAAGCTGCCACGGTAGCAGCAACACAGCATCCCTGCGGTTGCCCAGTTTCACTACCCTTCGACCCCTGTCGAGCAAAACATTTAAGCCCAGCTCTAGAAAATCAAGAAGAAAGAGAAAAAAAAAATTTCTTAACTTGGAAAAGAAGAAAAGCAACCAAACACAATTCTTTGCTCGGGCAAGCGAAGAAGATTGCTAGGGGGAACAAATATCCTTTGGCTTTCTCTCTTTCTGGCGGGGTTTTAATTGCACTCCAAATTTATTTAAACCCCTGCTTGACGCAGACTTAAATAGGTTTTGGTTGTAATTACATTCCTTTTCCTAAAAGAATTTAAATTCCATATGGAAAAAGGAATCTACATCAAATTAGGACACAAACTCCATTGCAGCTTTGGATTCCTACACCTCCTGCCATTTCCTGCGAGCAGTGCCAAAATTCATGTCGCTGACACATGGATTATTTCCCAAGAAGGAAAATACTACCCCTAATAAATGAGCAGGGAGCAGCCTCATTCACCACGCGCAGTTGAGGTAGAGCAGGCAGAGATCAACCACTGCTCAAGGCACCCCTGTCCGTAGGAAAGTCAAAGGTATTTATGATAGAATATAATCTTTTATTCTTATCATAAATATATTCCTAATCAGAGAAGACCTCTTTCAAGTAAGTTATCCTAATCTCATTTGTTTAGGATATTTACCTATTTATTCTAAGATATTTATTTACACAAATATCTTAGAATATTCCACCAAAAAATACCATCTATGGCCAGCCACCTCTAAACGCTGGAGGTTTGGGTCATCTCCTCCTTCTCTCCTACAAATACACCATTTATCTCCAAAATTCAAAAGGCTTTTAGCTACCCCTAAAGAGGCTTTTTGCTTCCCACAAACACTAAAACACATTCTTAACAAAATTCTAACTTTGGCATCGAAGATTCTTTGGCCAAAGCCCCCCTTCCCCCGGGGCAATTCATCGTGGGTGTCTGAGGCTTTTGGCCTTAATCTTGGGTGTTATTATTTTGCAGGTGCAAATCGCTAATGAAGGAGGAAACTTACATCCACATCTTCCATGCTCAAAGTATTACGTTTTGTTTTATGTGATTTACCGTAGTGGTAGAACCAATAATGTCTATGCACTCTGGTGAAGGTTTGATCCTCACCTATCCCCTGAAGGAAGATTTGTGAAAAACATGTTCATTTAAGCAACATCAATAGCATGCAATTAACAATTAAAGGCGGAATCATGCTTGTATACACTTAAAACAAAACATTTACCCATGAAATTCAAAGCCTAGTAGATAGGTGAACCAAGACTCAACTCAAAACAAAGTGAGTTGAGAAATCAATACCTTTGTAGATTCCTCTTTGCATAAGCAAAGGCTAATCACCCAAAGAGAGGGCCTTCATTCCTTGCATCTTAGATCCATGGATTTGGATGGATGAAAAAGTTTCTCCAAGTTCCCAAAATTGAGAACCTCTAATGATTCATCACCAAGGCATAATGAAGAAGAAATGAGTGACCTTGGAGGAGTTTGATTGCTAGATGATCCCTCCAAGGTGGCCTAAATTTTAGAGAGAAAGGAGAGCTTGTGTTCTCATCCTTTCCCCAAAAATTACCATATGTAAATTTTAGGCTATAAAGTCCTTTATATAGTCCCTTCAAATAAGTGACCTAATGGACCAAAAGCCCTATTCTTCTAACATGGCAAGCCTATAGGGTTTATTGGGCTTTCAAGCCCTTTGTTTATTCAAGTTGTCATACAACTTGAGTTAATGGGCTTGACATTCAAATCCCATTGGGCCTTGCGCCCAAAACTAACCCGAGGTCTTTAACGAACTTATTCGTTTGATTAATTAACATATTAATTAATCCTAGCCTTAGATAAATAATTAAACCATTTAATTATTCTTACTCATCTCCGTTGTTTCTTCAAACTCTACCTTACTCGGTGAACGATCCATTAGGTTCCTTTTAGCGAGGCAGTGGGCGATTAAAACTCTTTCTAATCGATTGTGAATTGAAACTTACTTTCAATTCTCCCGTTAGTGATAATACACTTTTAGGGCTTCCACAAACCATGGTTGACGCCTAGCAGCATGTTATGGTTACCCAAGCTAATCAGAAGAGGTGGAGAACCTATTCAGTTTTAGGATTACAAATGCAATACGGTCTTTCTCTAATACAATACTCTTGACCACATTGTTTGGTTTGATAGTTAATTCATGTCTACTATCCAATGTGAGTCTTGTGCTTATATGATTACCTTGAATGTGATTTGGAACATATTCCTAAATCTCATTCATACTTTGGCCAAAGATTCTTAATCATATCATAGAGTATTCTCCCTCAAACAGTTTGAAGGTTAGAGATCCCTTGTTGCGCATTCACTTGCCTCCATGGCTAAGTGGCTTAACCCCAACGATGCCATGGACACCCTCCTGATGGAGTGACTTTGACATAATCAAAGATTAAGGACCTAACCACAAGACAACTGTGATGCCTCAGGTCAAAAGACTACTTTGCATTATCCCAACCATGAGTTCTCATGTGACATGAATATGAGAACTCCTCGTTGATCGTGTTCAGTGAACTCATTCTCTATTGAGCACCTACATGCTTGTCTTGATGTCACACACACCAATGACTCGAGACTAGTCACTCTCCCTGAGAGAAGACATAGCACGTACTGATCTTAACGGACTGTCAATGCCCAATTGATAATCCTATGATCAGGAACGTTTAGGATGTGTCAACGAAAGAAAGGTCTCATGAATCTAACTTCTTTAGATCGCATTCTTCCAATCACATATTCCTTGGACTTATCGTTTAAGCATATAACATTTATATGAGACGGCTCAAACAATAATGTTTGCCCTTAACATTAAACTAGATTAGTTTAACATGTGAAATGTCCATAAAGTATCATCATATGATTGGTTTTAGGGCACATTTCCAACATCCCCTACCCTTAACAGCTAACAATTTAACTCCCTAACGTTATAGTTTGTCCAAAAAAAAAAAGGATTCATTGTTTCTTTTAATTAAAATTAGAAACAATGTTTAGTCGAATAATTAGCGTCGCTTACTAATCAATCTACTTTGTTTGACAAGTTTTGGTATCCCAAACTCAATGTGAAGAGAAAAACTTGGGCTGGGATAGCATGCTATACCGCAAGATAAGTCTAAGTGAAATATAATCACCACGGGGTGACTAAGTGGTTAGAGACGAATTTCAGGCCTGTATTCCACACAACACGTCTTGGGTTCGATTCCTGATAATGGTAAATCACACGACGGTAGGTATAGGGGGAGACTGAAATGCTTTTGTGAGTCTTATTAGCTCCCAGAAAGTTGGACTATCGTGGTGAAGCCACCAATTGATCTCTTTTTTAATAAGAAAGTCTAAGTGAAATATAAATTCTAATGCAAACATACAAAGTGCTAACCGATTGAAGCTCACAACAAATGATAGTGCTCTAATTCTTATCACGGCTTATAGCTTAAATAGTATAAATAAGAACCGAAATCAAGCTCCTGGTGTGTAGAAATAAGTTAAAGAGTTTTGGTAAGTCCAGTGCTCGCTTTCCTTCTAGGCTTCTACTGTAACAAAAAATAAACGTTAAAAAAATGACAAAACAAAATTTGGCACTATGCTTAAACAAAGAGCGGAAACAAACTTCTATTATTTGGACGGCTTTGATAACCATTTTGTTTTCAACTTTCAGTTTTTGTTTTTATTTTTCTTAAACTGAAAACTGAAATTTCCTTTTTTTTTTTTTCTTCTTATAATTCTAATTGTCTAATCGATTGAAATTGGAATTGTTAATTATATTTATAAATTGTTTTTTCTTTTGTAGTCTTTTCTCAACATTCATATTGACAACAATGTATCAAATAAATATAATTTGCTCGTGGATAAAACGATCCATTTATATCTCCGTCCCATAGTTTTTATTTCATTCAAATAATGGGTTCTTGTATTTTCTGTGATACAAGAAGTCTTTTTTTTTATTAAGATTAAACTCAATAAAAATCTATATATACTATAGAATTAATGGATGACATAAGAGACAAGGAGCTATTTATAAATATTTTACTTTATCCCTATTTTTATCTGAGAATTTTTTATTTTTTAATCGGATATGTTCATTTTTACTATGTTCAGAATCTAACCAACTAGAATTTAAATTTTTTTTGCTATTTTAATGTTTTGATTGGTTTGAATTGTGTTGTGCGATTCAATTCAATCTCTCTCTTTTTCTTTTTTTTTCTTTTTAATTGGGATTCTTGTTTGTTCGGTAACTACTTTTAATCTATTTCCTTTGAGTTTTTAACTTTTTAGTTCTCAGTCTTCATTTTTTTTTTAACTAAAAATAATTACTAAACAAGATTTTAGTTTTTGGTTTTCAAAATGGTGATAAATGAAAACTAAAAGCTGATAACGAAATGGTTATCAAACGGCCCCTTATTCAATGTAAATATTACTATATGTCTACATATTTGCATATACATTTTACTCTAATTCAGCAATAGCTTCTAGCTCTAGGCGTCTTGCATTTCTAGTTGTAGGACCAGTAGGCACAAAGGGATTAGGCGGCGTACTAAAGCTTTCTCCTCCTCTTGCAAGTTTCTTTGGAATTTTACCATCTCCTTCTTCCCCAATATGGATTCGTAGGTCATTCCCCTTCCTCTAGAAGATTATAAATCCACTGTGGATAGTAAATTTCATTTGTAGTGTTATCTGTGATTGAACCAATACTCTTCCTTCCTCCTACCATCTCAAGCAGCAGCATTCCAAAATTATAGGCATCTGCCTTGTAAGACACATTTCCGACATTCTTGGAGAACACTTCAGGTGCAATGTAGCCCATGGTTCAGTAGTCATGAACACCAAGCTTTGATCCTTGGAACATAACTTGGCCAAACCAATATCAGAAATTTTTGGAGTGAAGTTTTGGTCTAGCAAAACATTATGGGGTTTGATGTCGAAATACAGGATTCGTATATCGCATCCTTGGTGAAGATAATCAATTCCTTTGGCTATGCCTAGGGCAATATCTTGCAGCTTATCCCAACCAAGAAATGAATTCTTACTATCTGTAGATGAAATGAAATCCTGCAGGGAACCATTGGGGAAGAACTCGTAAACAAGAGCTCGTACAAATCCATCAGCACAAAATCCAACCAGGCGAGCCATGTTGACGTGGTGGATATGACCCATCGTTCGCACTTCATTACGTACTCTTCCCCATCTCCCTTGGAACTGTTGAGGACTTTGACAGCAATAAAGAATCCAGAAGAGAGCATTCCTTTGAGGACAGTTCCATAGGCTCCTTCGCCCAACTTGTCCTTGAATTGATTTGTAATCCTCTTAATATCTGCGTACGAATACCTGCTTGGTTTGAGTGCTGTGTAGTCCTCCAAGAATCTTTCAATTCTTAATCGACTCTTTTTCCTTCCTATCAGCGCTATATACCCGGTATGCTGCAATCATCAGTAGAACAAGAAGCAAAGCACCCAGGATTCCACCTGTAACCACTAATTTCCATGTGTTGCCTGTAAAAGAATTGCAAATTAAATCGAGACTGACAATTAATATCCTCAGAAAAATGGATCAGACAACATCCTTCAAATAATAATTACTGAGACATAAATGTAACGATGCTTAACACTAGCAATGAATGTCACGTTCTCCTTACTTGGTTACCTCACGTCTTGACAATCAATTTCACTGTTGGTACCATTGTTCTTCCATCTACACATCTTTCCCTCTGCTTCACATTCTGTACAATTTGGTTTCGACCATTTGAATTGAAGAAAATAGCCATTACCCACCCACCCACCTAATGGAACTGATAAAACATCATACATCTTTGAACAAGATCATAGATCCGGGATGAGATCTTCCAATTGATATGCAGAATGAATGGTATAAATTCTGCTGCCAGGGTCGCCGAGGCAGGGGACTTGATACCCATATGTATCTCTTGCAACAGAAGTAGGATAACTGAATAAGGTAAAGTTTCTGATGAGAGAATATGACAAGTGGTTACTTGGGGGAGACACTAGGATTTCCTGACGCTTGTAATCTATGTTTGTGATTTCGACAGGCTTTAACAGCAGGCAGTTACTTGGGGGATACACACTTGGATTTCCTGACGCTTGTAATCTATGTGTTTGACAAATACTGGTATTACATATTTAACAGAATTTTGTTATAGAAACTATTGTTATACTCATGATTATAAAGAATTAAAAACTGTCTATACTCATGATTATAAAGAATTGAAAACTGTACAGTCAACGATGCAGCCCTTAAATTAGTGAGTCATGTGTATTTCATACATGAATCACATCCATGTAATGCACTCCACAAGTTTGTAAAGGAAAAAGAATCTTGGGTAATTTGGACATGTAATCAAAATTCTGTATAAATAAGGAACTAAAATTACGCGTCAATGCATGCTGATTTTTCAGTATTTTACGTATGAGAGTAAACAATGAAAGTATAAAAGCAATAAACACCCCTTCAAAAGAAAAATATAAATGTCAACAGCACCCTGCTGCTAGGGCTCTACAACTTTGTCTTGGCCATCTTATCAACAAAACATAATCCACATAAGAACGATTGACTAGTGTAATTGAAACACACTGGAGTCTTAAAAAGAAGAGGCTAGCCACCACCAGTTACATGGCATATAAAAAAATAAAAATAAAAATCCTTCTTTTGAGCATATAAATGTCTTTACTAAATGAATTTTTACTTCAAATGGCAGGCATTCACATATAAGTAATTAAAAGTAACAGGATTTACCTTTATATAAAATGAGTTAGACTTTGTACGGTTCAGGATCCATCCACTTCGTGGATTACCACTTTGTAGATAACTAGTCATCTCAGGGCACCCACCAGTTTGCTACAACCAAAACACAAAACCAACCAAAATACCATAAAATTTCTGTAAGAACTACATATAACCTGAAAGAGTTATCTCCACTATCAAAGACTGAAAAATAGTCACAATGCACATGTATTCATGCAAATACTTTTTGGAATATCAAGTCTCTGTATTACAGAGTTCTGAAATAATGATAAACTAGTTTCAATCATTGAAGTCATCTCTCTAAAAAGGATGGACCAAACCATCATTAACAGCGGCAATTACAAACCTCGGAATTACAACACCGGGGTATTGCTTGATGTGGTGCAAAGACTCACAATCGATTCTAACTATAAAGCCATAGCAACATTTTGATTGCAGTTTCCCAAAAATCAAAGTTCAAAGTAATTAAAATTCAGAAAGTGGATTAATCATCCTCAAACCCAGGCAACCAAGAAAACAATTACAAACCTAACTGAGATTCTCGATCAAATTCATTACCTAAAATCCCTTAAAATTACAGTGATAGAACAAATCTAAGAAAAGCACCATAAAGTTGAGACTAAACAAAAATCTAAAGGGGACAGGATAGGGTTGATACAGATTGAGAGCATACCTAAAGTTTTGGAGAACGAAATGCCGAAAAGCACCCTGTATTGGGGATTTCAGTTCTTTAATGGCGGGGCACTTCGACGGTGACGGAAAGCAGACGGGCGACGGGACGACGAGTAGACGAATCGACGGCGATGACGAGCATATAGAGCGACGGCGAGCAGGTGGAGCGAGATCGATGGAGAGGAGAGAGTTACGATGTCAGAGAGAAGGAAAGGGGGTGGGCTCTCGACAATTAATATTGGGTACATGAAAATGCAATGATTCTCTTTCAAGTTTACCAAGAAAATACAAACCTTTTAAGATTTGAGGGAAATTTGAAAAAAAAAATAATAAATAACCCAAAAAAAGAAGCGGCTAAATAAAAAAGGGAAGGCGCGAGAATGAATTTGTGCGCGGGCTTCTTTACCACAAACTTCTGTGCCATTGTTTACGACGTGTTATTTGCGCCATAAAAGGTACCAACCCAAATATATAGAAAGTCCACGTTATAACATAACGTAAAGCCTTAAAAAAAAAAATTAAAAAAAAAGGTGCGTCGTATAAATTGTCAAATACGATACACAACGTTTAAGTCATGAATAATTTTATTTACAACTTGCACAAAAGTAACGCTGTGAATGACAGATTATGCATAAGTATTACGACATGATCTTTATAAATGTCATGAATAATATCATTTAAGGCATATCAATATTATACGTCGTATATTTCAAGTCGTAAAAGACCCAAACTATTGTAGTGGATATAAGTATAGCCAACCAGACATTGAATAATCAAGACTAATATATAATAATAAAAGGAAAAGGAAAAATATAAAGAACAAGAGAAGATGACTTCAGAATGGTACAGTTTTGACATAGCCCGCTCACTCTACAATCTCTGCATGTTTGAATTAACCAGATTCTTTGAGAAAGCGATGCCTGCATTGCCTTGCCTATGCCACACAAATCTCACAGGCCGACAAAACCATTGATGCTAATTTGTATTGTAATCACAATAGGTTTATTCAACATATATGCATTGGATCAATTCAGGAATGGAGAAAAAATGGAGAAAATTGGGTTTGGTGTTGTAGATTCCGGATGTGCATAAGGGAATAAGAAGAATGGAGGAGTTCAAATGGATTTTCCTTGTTTTAAACTTACTCATATAGTTTATTTTGCCTTAAATGCAGAAAGTGATGAGATTTCATTTATGATGACATGTAATATTTTAAATACTAAAATGATGGCATAGAATAAGTCAAGGGACCTTGATCTAAAATAGAAAAATAATTAGGTTTCAATTAATGTAATATGAAAATAAGGGATAAGAACCTAATTTTTCCGAAAATCTATATATACTATAGAAATAATGGATGACATAAGAGACAATGAGCTATTTATAAATATTTTACTTTATCCTTATTTTTATCTGACAATTTTTTGTTTTTTCATCGAATCTGTTCAATTTTACTATGTTAATGTTTTGATTGATTTGGATTGCGTTGTGCAATTCAATCTTTTTTTCTTATTGAGATTCCGATTTGTTTGGTAACTACTTTTAATCTACTTCCTTTGAGTTTTCACTTTTTAGTTCTCAGTCTTTATTTTTTATTTTAACTGAGAGTATTTACCAAACAAGATTTTAGTTTTCAGTTTTCAAAAAAGTAAAAAATGAAAACTGAAAACAAAATGGTTATCAAACGATCCCCTTATTCAATGTAAATATTACTATACGTCTACATATTTGCATATACATTTTACTCTAATTCAGCAATAGCTTCTAGCTCTAGGCGTCTAGCATTTCTAGATGTAGGACCAGTAGGCACAAAGGGATTAGGTGGCATACTCAAGCTTTCTCCTCCTCCTTGCAACATCTGAACAGCTGTTTTCATGGAAGGACGATCCGACGGGTGCCACTGGATACACCATAGCCCTATAATTGCAAGTTTCTTTGGAATTTTACCATCTCCTTCTTCTCCAATATGGATTCGTAGGTCATCCCCTTCCTCTAGAAGATTATAAATCCACTGTGGATAGTAAATTTCATTTGTAGTGTTATCCGTGATTGAACCAATATTCTTCCTTCCTCCTACCATCTCAAGTAGCAGCATTCCATAGCTATAGACATCTGCCTTGTAAGACACATTTCCAAAATTCCTGGAGAACACTTCGGGTGCAATGTAGCCCATGGTCCCCTTAGCTGTAGTCATGGACACCAAGCTTTGATCCTTGGAACATAACTTGGCCAAACCAAAATCAGAAATTTTTGGAGTGAAGTTTTGGTCTAGCAAAACATTATGGGGTTTGATGTCGAAATGCAGGATTCGTAGATCGCATCCCTGGTGAAGATATTCAATTCCTTTGGCTATGCCTAGGGCAATATCTTGCAGCTTATCCCAACCAAGAAATGAATTCTTACTATCTGCAGATGAAATGAAATCCTGCAGGGAACCATTGGGGAAGAACTCGTAAACAAGAGCTCGTGCAAATCCATCAGCACAAAATCCAACCAAGCGAGCCACGTTGACATGGTGGATATGACCCATCGTTCGCACTTCATTTACGAACTCTTCCCCATCTCCCTTGGAACTGTTGAGGACTTTGACAGCAATAAGGAATTCAGAAGAGAGCATTCCCTTGAAGACAGTTCCATAGGCTCCTTCGCCCAACTTGTCCTTGAATTGATTTGTAATCCTCTTAATATCTGCGTACGAATACCTGCTTGGTTTGAGTGCTTTGTAGTCCTCCAAGAATCTTTCAATTCTTAATCGACTCTCTTTCTCCTTTCTATCAGCGCTATATACCCGATATGCTGCAATCATCAGTAGAACAAGAAGCAAAGCACCCAGGATTCCACCTGTAAGCACTTTTTTCCATGTGTTGCCTGTAGAAGATCATTGCAAATTTAAACGAGACTGTCAGGTAATGTTCCTAGTAAAAATGGATTGACAACATATTTTAAATAATAATTACTAAGACATAAATGTAAAGATGTTTAAAACTAGCAATGAATATATATGTTATCCTTACTTGGTTTCCTCCAGGGAAGACATTTAATTTCACTGTTCTGCCATCCACACCTCTTTCCCTCTCCACATTTTCTGCAATTTGGTATAGACCATTTGAAAGGAGGAACTTCATATTCAGATAATATTGGAATTATCGGAATTGGAACTGATAAAACATCATACATTTTTGTACGAGGCAGGGGACTTGCGAAAGTCCCAAAATAGTCTCGAGAATCAATGGCATAAGTTCTCTTGCCACGGTCGCCGAGGCAGGGGACTTGCGAAGTATCCAGACGTGCAACAGAAGTAGGACAACTGAATAAGGTAACGTTAATCATGTCATCGACTGACACGTTGAAGGGAGAGGGTGGCATGTTTGGGATTTCAACAGGCTTTAGCAGCAGGCAGTTACTTGAGAAATTGACTTGGATTTCCTGACGCTTGTAATCTATGTGTTTGACAAGAAATTTGATTAGTATTTGCTGCTCATGTCTCCCATTGCATTCAAGCCCAGGATTTCCACAATGATGTGTGCGCCTGATGTTCAATGGGAAATGGATAGCCGGGCCTTGATCATTGCTACAGTTAGATTCCGCGCACATATACTGGCTAGCTCCAACTAGTTTGAAGAAAACCAGTATCAATATGCAAAAGGAAGAGACGATCAATTTCTGCATTTCTGAGATAATAATAAAAAAATAATGCGCATGGATTTTTCTTTTCTGTAATTGAGTAGAGATATGTACATAGTAATTATACACTGTCCTCCATTAATGAAAAAGAGGTAGAGCATTATGATTACACAATTCTATCTTTGTCGTTGACTGACTGTGTCAACATCATTGACTGACTTTTCTCTGGATAGAAGTCCTCACTGCAACTTCACGGCAGGTGACTTAACCCCACCAATATTATAATACTACTTGGGGTTTTCTCTCTCTCCTCTCTCTCTCTCTCTCTCTCCTTCCTATGGAAATAAGTGGAAGCAGATTCTTCACCTTAATTTTAGCCTTCCTACTTTGCTTTTGCAGTTTGGTATTGATCTGCTTTAAAATAAAAATTGCTTTTGGCAGTTGTGAAAAGGGTTGTCTTTCTTGATCTTAATTGAAAGTTCTATGACAAGGAAATTCTGTGTTTGGGTGGAAAATTTTAAAATTATTAAGAATTTTAAAATAACAGAAATTGAAATAATAAAATTTTATTTTCTAGAATTTATAAATTTTCTTGTTTGATTAACCTCAAAGAGGAATGAAATATGAATACATGTTTGTTATTTTTAAACTCTCACTTACTGAAATTTAGAAATGACACATATTTACATGAAATTTAAACATGAGAATTAAAGGTTCCAAATTCCAAGTTTTTTCTCACGCAGAAAGTCTAAATTTCTATGTTTATGAATCCAAACAAAGGAATTAATTGTGTAAATTTATAAATTCTGACTTTTGTCAAAATTCTAAGTTTATTGTCCTTATCCAAACATATTGTTACTATACCAATGCATGACCATGATAATAACATATCCGGTTAGGGTCTAGGATATTTCTCTTCACTTGTAAGTGAAATGTCTTATATTCGATTCTCACCAAAGGCGAATTGAACTATATTATTGCTAACCCATTGTAAGGCTTAGGCCACTCCCTCACCCCCTTAATCTAGATAATATTGTTTATTCAAAAGGAAAAAAAATATATACAATTGTAGTGACAATAATTTTCATTTTTTCCCTATTTTCTTCCTTAGTATTTGTCATGCTTGTTTGAATGTATGAACAAAGATATATTGTGATATGCAAGAAATTTAAATAGTTAATTATGAAATATGTGACTTTCTGTTTTAACCAAAAGTTATACTCATACATGTAGACGCACAAGGTTTTTGAGGCGATGCAACAAAAAAACCAAATGAGGCAATAGTGAATAGAAAAATAAGAGGAACGTAATCAAGTATTGGTGTTCTAAATTGCATACCACTTTAACTACAAACCTCATTAAACCCAATCCCTGTAAATCATTCACAATAGACGCACATTGGAAATTTTTTGCACACTTGCCCAATTCGTTGCTTTAATTTGTGGATAGCGGTCGGATAACGCTGAGAATGACAAAGATTTCAATTTTGCTATGTTGTGACCCATGTGGCCTTGGTGTTCACAAATCTTATCTTTTTCCTGGTAAGCGGAAACCCTTGGCGGCTTTTTGTGGCGGCAACGACGATGTGACGGGTGGCTCTAGCTTGCCGTGGTATTTCCTCTGCCATCCTAAGCACTAATCCTTTGTTGTCCTTGCCACGGACACAACCTCATGGTTGTACAACCCACGTCTCTTGCCACATCTGTACTCGTGTCTTCCCTATGGACAAGCATCTGGACACGTCATTGACTTTAGTTTAATTTTAAGTTTTTGTTTGTAGCGTCTTGAGCGGATTAAGTTAGTAAACCCTGTGTTGCTTCGGTGATCTGTTTGTGTCTCTTATGCGATTTATGTGGTCTCGTTGTCAATGGCTTTATATCAGGGTATCGGTGTGAGGATGTTGTGTCTGCTATCTTTGTTGCAATTTTACTTGGAACTCTTATTTGTGATGGTTTATTGTGGTAGTCATAAAAGAGGTAGCCGTATAGGAGTTTAAAAGTATTTGCTTCTTGTGCGAACTATCTTCCTATTCAAGAAATTGATCATTGGAGAAATTGTATCTTTTGACACCTCTTGTATTTGGTTGTTCTTAGTAATGAAACACTTTATCGCTTCGATCAAAAAAATAAATAAACAGACCACAATGTTATCAATCATGTTTTCTCTTCTACAACGTTTTTCTTTTGGTCTCAGCAAATGAACTGATACACTAAATCAGGAAGGAAAAAAAAGTTCTCCAAAATACTATATTTGTACAATCAACAGTTGGTTACATGTCAATGCAAAAGAGAGAACAATCTGGCATTAGTATCATGAGAAAATAATTAACACCAAAATCATCATATTTAGTCTTGGCTATTGTTAACCTTCAAGATGACAACATCTATAACAAGGAACTAACACCAATATCCATAAAATAAAATAAAATAAAATAAATGTTACAGATCCAACCAATACACAATTCAATTGGAAGGAAAAAAGCACAACAAACAGATGACTATCAGAAAATAAAAATAACTAGCAAAATTCACAACAGGCATAAAGAGTCTACCTGAAAATCTAAAATAATTCAAGAAAGAAGAGAGTAGAGGCGCTGATCCTAGAACAAAGCAAGAAGATGATGCACGAGCTGAAAATCTTGTCGAAGATTTGGAGAGTTAACAGAGTGAACAATGCAGCCCTAAACCGTTATTAGGTTTTATCATTAAATTTAGCACCTTAATCGTAAAGTTTGGCTGTCGCAAGATTTCCCCGCAATGTATTTGTGATTCTCATCGTAGTTAGAATTTTGAAATTACACTTATTTAGACGAAATTAAAATTGGGAATCTTCATCCCCAATTTCTAACTTTTTCCTGTACAATTTGCCTTTGCTCTCACTACATGTTGCCGAACAAGAGAAAATTGCTTTCACATTCCTAGATTTTTGAGTTTAAATGAAATTCCGAGTTTTTTTTATTTTATTTTATTTTTTTACCAAAACCAAATAGATAAATTGCAAATTCTAAAGGGATTTAGGCATATTGATGAAAAAATGGATCACAAAAAGTTATAAATAAGGGATTAGAACAGCATCGCATGAGCATTACAAAGAACACGCGAGAGTTAGTAACAACTTGTTTTCCGGCATGTTAAAAGGCCTAAGGAGAAGCAACTTGTTCTGTTGTTCACTAACTCACATCAACAACAATATTCATCTTCATCTTCATTTCTCAACAAACTCACATCATTTGGAAGCCCTTCCACTTAGAAACATAGACTTCTTTCTTTGTCATATATAGTTATGTAGAAATTTCATATCATATTCCAATTGAAAACTAGCACCCTCATTACCCCTAAAGACTTGAAATTGTAAATACAACACTATGACTTTTCTTCTAATCAAGTATTGTTTCAATGACTACCACTTTCAAAATAAGACTTTCTTGCTTTTTTCTAAAGGAAAACTAACGAAAAGTTCAAAAAAACTTTAGTTTTAATGAAAAATGACAAATTAAGGTGTAGTGCATAATAGTCAAGAAAGGTAAAAATGTGGTTTTTGGTTAAAAGTAAACAATACCAGAAATGTTTTGTTAAAACTTCATTTTTCTAAATCACTATAACCTTTTTTTTTTTAGATTCTAATGAATGTCTCGTCTCCCTTCAAGGTCATTTTTTCCTATTCAAACGCATCAATCAACATCCACATCCTCTTCAATAAATAGTTGATTTTTTCAAAGAAAAATACTCTTTCTCTCTCCTTATGTAAAATCATATTTAACAAACATGACTGCATAAGAGGAAGAAAAATGACATGTCAAACTCACAATCCTTTTGCAGATTTTTCAAATTTCATTCGTTCAACTTTTGTGCCCCTGCTCATTTTCCATGGAAATTTAATAAAAGAAGAATAATCTTTTGGACAATCGTTGCAATACAGAGAAAATTGTTTTCACATCCCTAGATTTTCGAGTTTAAATGAAATTCCATGTTTTTTTTTTTACCATAACCAAATAGATAAATTGAAAAGGGAGGTGTTATTGCCACTTCAAAAATCTCATTCTACACTTCTCACAAGTGTATTTTTCTTTCCAGATATAGAAAGTTTGGAGTGTAAAATGAGATTTTTGGAGTGCCAATAACACTTCCCATTGCAAATTCTAAAGGGATTTTGGCATATTGATGAAAAAATGGATCAGAAAAGGTTATATATAAGGGATTAGAACGGCACCGCATGAGCATTACAAAGAGCACGTGAGAAGGATTTGCAAATGACTACTTAAAAGGAGTTAATATTATGCGCATTGGTGTGTACGCATCTAGAAATATGCATATACATTTTACTTAATGACTATAAGATTATAAAGGAAATTAGCTTAAGATTTTATCCCACTGCATATGAAGTTCGTAAGGCTTTCCCTTGGGTCTAGTTAGATAAATTTTGTCATGACACTGTTCATCTTCTCTAGTTATCAACAATCGTACCTCATGTCTTAGTTCACCAATCAGTTACATTTATTAGTAACAACTTGTTTTCTGGTAATACCATGTTAAAAGGCCTAAGGAGAAGCAACTTGTTCTGTTGTTCACTAACTCACATCAACAACAATATTCATCTTCATCTTCATTTCTCAACAAACTCACATCAATTGGAAGCCCTTCCACTTAGAAACTTAGACTTCTTTCTTTTTCATATATAGTTATGTAGAAATTTCATATCATATTTCAATTGGAAACTTGCACTCTCGTTACCCCTCAAGACTTGAAATTGTAAATACAATACTATGACTTTTCTTCTAATCAAGTATTGTTTCAATGACTACCATTTTGAAAATGTGGCTTTCTTGCTTTTTTCTAAAGGAAAAGTTACGAAAAGTTCAAAAAATCTTTAGTTTTAATAAAAAATGATAAATAAAGGTGTAGTGCATAATAGCCAGGAAAGGTAAAAATGTGGTTTTTCGTTAAAAATGAAAACTATCAAGAATGTTTCGTTAAAACTTTATTTTTCTAAATCATTATAACTTTCTTTTTTTTTTAGCTTCTAATGAATGTCTCGTCTCCCTTCAAAGTCGTTTTTTCCTATTCAAATGACCCATCAATCAACATCTACATCCCCTTCAATAAATAGTTGATTTTTTCAAAGAAAAATACTCTTTCTCTCTCCTTATGTAAAGTCATATTTATTTTTGTGTTTTAACAAACATGACTGCATAAGAGGAATAAAAATG